TGCGGGTGCCCGTCTCCCTGTGTCTCTCTCTCTCTCTCTCTCTCTCTCTCTCTCTCTCTCTCTCTCTCTCTCCCTCCCTCTCTCTCCCCCTCTCTCTCCCCCTCCCTCCCTCTCTCTCTCCTCAAAGCTGTGAGGAGGTGGGCGGGGGTCCCCAGAAATCCCTGGGAGGCTGAATGGCAAACATGCGCAGCCCGAGAAGCCCTAAACTCTTTTTTCTTTCCCCCCCCTCCTCCTAGTCGGCTGAAGAAAGAAGGCGACAAGCAGTTGTAATAAATTATTTATTGGCCAGGCCAGCTGCAAAAGAGCCCTGTCCTTGGGAAGGCGGCAACAGGGGAGGAGCCCCCATCACAGAAGGTCGGAGCAGGAGAGGAACTATCTTCGGAAGACGCGCCTGCCTCTGTTGATTAAAAAAAAGGAGAAGCCCAAGAGATAGAGACTTGCATCAGCGCGTATATTATGGGGTTCATTTGTAGAGAAGATTTCTCAAGACCGTTTTCGGGGTATTCAGAGACGTTCCCTGGGCAGTCTGGGGGGGGGGGTGTCGGGTTGGTTTTTTAAAAAGAACTTTTGTGTTCGTTTTCATTTTTTTTCCTTTCGAGTAGGTGCTAGAATCAGGTTCACAACATAATGCAAGCCACTGTGGGTAAAAGAATACACTCAATTTATATATAGATATATATATATACTTTAAAAAAAGAAGGGGGGAAAACAAATTAGAAGTTAAGTGGCGTAACAACCTCTGAAAATCCAAGTGCTATAACAAGAATTTTAAAATAAATCTACTTTTATTTTAATACATTGTAGGAAAACGTCATAATTTTAAAGAGAGCTTGGCAGCATGGCTTTATAAGTCTGTAAATAATTTTTCGGGTTAGGGGCTAAAAATTATTATAATCTCCACAAAAATCCTGATTCTTTCCTCCCCTCCTCCTCCAGTAACATCATAATATCCTTCTTACCTGGTGTTGACAAAGTACAGAGTTGATTTTTTAATATAAGAGGAATATATATAATTATCCCTTTAGTTAAAGGGAGATGACAGGGGGTGTCAATAATTTCAAAATGGGCAGAAGCCTGATTTTCTGGTTTGGTAGCAACGTGAGCATTAAAGGGAGTTGCAGGGATAATGTTACAAAACTATCCTTTTCTTTTGCGTGTGTGTATATGTTGTTGTTTTTTAATTTAATTCCTTTGTTCTACGGTTGTCGTAATCGCCTTCCATCCTGGACAGTTGGTTTTGTCATTCAGTTGTTCAGCGAGTAAAATACATTACATCTTCCACATTTGGGGATAGGTTACTGAAGGCAAAAATAAGGCCCGTATCAGAGCCTTCATTTGGTGTGCCCCACCGGTACGAGAACGTCAAGCGGACGGAGTTTGCGCCGGTAGCATTTGCTCAGGTCGTGGGTTTCTTGCAGAATTCAGGAATGTTGGACATTCCCGGAACAGCTTTAAACAAACAAAGGCTATTCCTCTTCCTTTATTAATGTAACCTCAGCCTGGAATGTTCCATCTTGTAAAATGGGCATGCACCTTTGCGCCATCAGTTTTAAAAAGATTAGCTAAATTTTTGTTTCAGCCACAAATCCCCTAGGAAGCTCCATGTGAGGAGGGGTTTCCACACATGGCGTGCCTTTGGAAAGAACCTGTGTACTTGGGGTTCCGTGTGAGTATTGGAGCCTGCATTTGAGGCACCTGAGCTGCTGAGCCCGTACACATTTTGATAGAACACAGCAAGACACACCAAACCGCTTGGGTGGGGAAAAATACTTTTGTACATGTGCTGAATTAGATCTCGTCATTCCCAGGCCTTTATGCATTTGGGGTGGAGGGAGGAATAGGCAAAAAGGGGCCGTCTTCAAACAGCTTTCACGACGGCAAAGCTTAAGTTGCACTTATTACAAAAGGTAATCTCTTTCGTGGCCTGGGTTTACTTTTAATAGGGCCAATCGTTGGCAAAGCTTCGCCGAGAAGCCTAGCACCGCAGCGGACCACCAGGCTAAGGTATCACCTGGACTTAATCCAGAGGGCACAATCCACCAGGAAGTTGTCCAGGTCAAGTGCTGCGGAAGTGAACAGTTCTGCACATGACTTGGCTAAAGAGGAAGGCACAATCCACCAGGAAGTTGTCAAGTGCTGCGGAAGTGAGCAGTTCTGCACATGACTTGGCTAAAGAGGAAGCTGCAGAGAAAAACTTCCTGGTGGATTGTGCCTCAAACTCCCCCCCACACACACACACACAGCTTAAGCTGGACATAGCAGCATCATGCTCGCCATCTGCAGTATTTCAGGGATTATCCCATTTGCTTGAAAAGGGTTCTTCATTCTCGGCAGGAGGCAAACATGCAGCCGGTAGGCAACTTTTGAGACAAGCACATGACAAGTGTACATCTCACCACCTCCACCCCTCAAACTATGACTTTAGATACAGAGGCAAACGACACCAGATGCTGAAACATGTACGTTGCCAGTTACGGTTTTTGCGTTCCTTTCATTCACCACCACATTTTCTTTCTCTTTTCCCCCTTCCTCTTTCGGAGGGCTGTTATCTTTCTCTGCGAAGACTGTTATCCATGGCGGGCCTTCAGAGAGCTTCATCAGATAACCCCGTAGCTAATCATTGGCCGTCTCCAAAGACGCAGGGCAGAGCAGAGTTTAAACCCGCCTGACGGAATTCAGGATTCTCTTTCTGCCTTGGATCAGAGAAAGGGGGCTTCTTTGCTCGGCATCCCACCTCTTCCCCAGTTCCTACCCTACCGTCCAGAGTCGTTTCTCGTTCCGATTCCATTCCAACCTAGTAGCCCAAGCACCTTGTGCCAGTCCCTATCCCGCTGTTTGGCAAACTGTGGCACAGTCTGCGGGGTCCACAGAAGATGATTTCCAGACGCTGTCCGAGAAGGAGGCACGTGTGCCCGTCTCCCAGGATATATCTTGTACTTTTGACAGCTGAAACACTTAATTCAGGAATGCACCGAAGTCTCTAATTCCGGATGCTAAATTCAGCTGACAAAAACATGACACACAGGCTCCCCAAAGCTTTACTTTTGCAAGCTAGTCCAGAATGTTCCTGTTTTTAATGCCATCATTTGAAAGTTTAATATGCATAACTGCTGTATAATGGGCAGGGCATTTTCAACAGACGCGGTTGTCTTTAAACCGCATCCGTATGATCAAAGATTCTTCAGAAGGAAACCAGGGGATAGCAGCTTTTGTAAGGGTGATTGAATTTGTAACAAGATCTCCCGTCCCTTCCCAGAACTACAATTCCCACAGTTCCTTAGGGGAGATAGTTTAGCACGGATGAACCTCAGTTCAAGGTACCATGAATGTCAGCTTGCCCCCTTTCCCTTTCGGTTTACACGTAGCACTTTGCGGTTTCCGCCTTGGAATCTGATAGTCTATTTTTTAATGTTTAGGGTTAGTCTTTTGAATCATTCCGGGGTGCCAGGGAAGTCCGGAGGCTGTTTGTTTCTTGGATCTAATGATTAACCACGGTGTTATTTGCTCTTGGTCTCTGAGGCCGCCATGCCCTGTTCCAAGCTCCCAGACATTTTGGGGTTATCTTTTCGAAATTCTTAATTCCCCCCCCTTTGAATTTTTTAAAATTATGGTTTGCTTTTCATGTCTCCCCCCCCCCCTCAAACCGTCTCTTGTTCTGTGTCGTCTCGGTTTGACCTAGTTTCACTGCGCCGTTTAAAAAGCAGAATATACATTCTGACAGCTACGTTTATATATATCTTGAGGCTTAGTGTATATATGAGTAGTTTGCCATGGGATAACACAGTGTAAAACAGAGTAGAAAACCCAGAAATCGTGACTTCTGTGTTCTCTCCATTTGAGTATTTTGTAATTTTTTTGAAATATTTGTGGACATAAATAAAAACCAAGCTACACTACAGCAGTTGGGTTTTGTTTACCGTGTGTGTGTGTGTGTGAATAGGCATCGGGGGGGGGATTTAAGATCCTGGGAACAGCTTTGTGCAGAGGTCCCCACGCTTTCTGAGCCGGCGGGCACATTTGGAATTCTGAAATGGCGTGATGGGCACAGCAACAAAACGGTCACCGTGGGAGGCAGAGCCGGCCACAAAACGGTTGTCCCAGTTAAACCTCGGTAACACAAGTATCGATCTTTGTGCTGTGGTGGCACAAAATTAAAAATTTGCTCAGCCAGTAGAATCTCCAGTAGTCAAACCAGAAGCCTTGGTGGGCGAAGGTCCTACCTGGTCTCACCGAGCAGTTCCAAAGAACACTTGGTGTGGGGGGGGGGCGCCCTGGTTTTGTGGCTTCCGACTGCTACACGGGCAGCCCTATGCTGAGGTAAACCCAAATATACAAACTCCACTAGTAGAAAACACCATCAAAGACGCCCATTCTAGATACTTGTAAGGTGCATTTCCTTCGACTTCTTCAGTTTGCCGGCTGAACCTGATTTCAGCCATTTCAACAGGCCACAAGGTTTATAGTGTCAGAAGCAAATCATAGGTTCTAGAATGGGCGTCTTTGCAAAGGCTGTTTGGAAAATGTTATTATGACTATGTAGACTCCTATCAAGTTACACTGACTACGTGGACTTTATGTCTTATCTTCAAAGGAGGAAATATTGTACATTATGCCTTATTATAGTTACAGTATGCATTAATGTTGTTGTCGTGACACCACCAACTTGATAATTGTTTAATGTATTGTTTTGGTAATCTTTTATGGTGCTTTGTGCTAGTGGAATTTGTATATTTGGGACTCCTGTGACACTAGTCTTTTCCCCTTGTTGTTTGGAATTGCAGTGAGGTAAAGGCAAGCCATTTCGGGTGCCACGAGGGACAGATCTGGCGCATGAAGCGCCAGTATGAGCCCCACTAAAATGAGAGCTCTGGCCAAGGAGAACTTCAAGGGGGGGGGGGGGAAAACTGGCTTAACAGTGGCTACTGAGCTGCCCTACAGAACTGCATAAGGATGTCAAATCCTGTGCCCGAAAACAGCGACTATGCTGTCAATGTGCCACATATCCTAAACAAGACTAGCATGCAGACGGACAGGTTCCTGATTTCTCCACAGTTTATTTTGGCAACAGCTCTAAGGTGGAAATATGCCATGTGCAGATTTTGCCTGCATTGGATTGGACTGTGGTTGAAACTTTTCCTGCAGTTGTTAGAGGAACACAAGCCCTGTCTAAATCAAAAGTTGCCAACTGATCATGGATAACAGCCTGGCTTGCTCTTAAGACATTTAGCAGCCACAGATCTGCAGAAATCAGCTGATGCTTCTCATGGTAAGGAGGTGAGCGTCATCACCTGCTAATATTTCTGATCAAATGACTGTTTAAAAGCACTGGAGCTGGAGCTGGGGGAGACGTTGGCAGCCCTGCCCAGAATTGACACGAACACCCTTAATAGAAGCCATTATATTAGAGCCACTGTGGTGTAGTGGTTAAGAGTGTTGGACTAGTATCTGGGAGAACC